AATTTCTTTTGTTAGTATTTTGTTGATCTTTTTAATGTATATGGTACTTTTATGGTTTATAATACTTTCAATGGGCTGTTAATTTAGTTCATTAGTATTTTGTTGGGAGTATTTGCAACCACATTTATCAGGGATATTGGCCTGTAGACTTCCTTTCTTGTAGTACTTTTGGTTTCTGTGTAATGCTGGTCTCATAAAATAAGTTAGAGTATATTCCTCCAATTCAATTTTTGGAAGAGATTCAGAAGAATTGGCATTAATTCTTTTTTATATATTTGGTGGAAAGCACCAGTGAAATCATCTGGTTCTGGGATTTTCTTTGTTGAGGGGGTTTTAGATTATAGAATCAATCATCCGTCTCCTTTTCAGTCTTAGAAGGACATACATTTATTGAAATTTATCCATTTATTCTCATTTTGCAGTTATTGACATATTATTTTTTTGAAGATAATTTTCTACTTTTGTTTTAGTTTTTACTTCTTGATATTTGATTATTTTTTATATTTATTTATTTTATTGTTTCAGGTTCATTAAGGGTACAAAGAATTAGGTTTCACTGTTTGCATTTGTTAAGTAAAGTCCCTCTTATAATTGTGTCCCACCCCTAAGAGGTGTGCATACATCGTAACCTCTATCCTCCTCCCACTTCCCCCTCCCTGCTCCATTCCCCTGCCCCCACCTTCAATTGATTTGTGTTTGTCTCTTATTGACATATCATAATTGATAGTAATCCCTTGTTCTTTTAATTTCCATGACATCACTTGTAATGTCTTCTCTTTTACTTCTGATTTTGTCAGTTCTTTTCTTTCTGTTTTTAGTTAATCTAGCTAAATGTCAGTTTTGTTAATCTTTAAAAAAAATCAATTCAAATGAGGATTTGAACTCCCTATTCTGCCATCTTGCTAATGTCACTGGTCAGCAACTCCATTTTTAACAGGGGAGGTGGAAATTTCTAAGATATAAAATAAAATATGCTGGGCATTCACTATTGTAAATAATACAAAATGCATGTGTGAGTCATTGAAACTTGGATCAATTCTTAATACCAAACATCCAGGAAATATGCTTATGTGAACAGGCGTATAGGGATATTAATGATTACACTTACTTGTATCAGGCTTTCAATTTAGATGTTGAATAAATAAAGGTTTTTTCTTATTTCTAATGAAGTTTCCAAGCTTCCTATGTCAACATTGTTCTTAAGCACTCAAGTGTCCCTAGATAAATGACCTCAGAGGCACAATAGACCCACATTACTTTATGAAATTCTTATATAGAAATCAGTGCAAATGGCAGATGATGACAAATAAAGGCATATGGCACCTCTGGTAAACATTTATTACTTATGCTAAACATTTTTTGAAAAAGGAATGAGATTGATCTCCTTTTATGTTAATATCTTTAAATATCTCTTTAAAGAGCTAGTTGGCTAATCTTGGCTCCTTATAAATTTTAAGTGAGGGGCAAGAGTTTTACTTGTTCCCATTTAAGGCTTGATGATTCTAAATGGCTCAAATTAATTCTTCTTCTCTATGATTCTAATCTTACTAGAAGCTTATAACTCTGGTTTGAAAAAATTTCAAATTATTGATAATTTTTACATTCAAATTATAAACATGTATCTATTCCTAGTCCTTTTGAAATCATTAATACAGAAAATACTAGTACCCTTTGCCTTAACATTATATGGAATTGTGTTACGTTACAAATCAGACTCCAATCATTCCAGTTCTTCCATGCTCTTACACTATCATGTATGGTCTTTGATTTCACATACACCAATCAGTTCTTCCAGCTTAGCCAACTGCTGATGCTACTTTTTTTTTTCCTCTGGCTAGTTGGAATTCATAACAGGTAATCTAATCCCATGGTATTAAAAGTATAGCCAGCATAGGCATTATCTGGTAACTTGTTTTAAATGCAGACTTCGATCCAGATGGAATCCCAGTTACTTTGGAGGCTGAGAGGATTGCTTGAGGCCAGGAGTTTGAGCCCTGCTTGGGCTACATAGTGAGCCCACATCTCTAAAAAATTAAAAAAAAGAAATAACCAGTTGTGGTGGCCTGTGCTCAGAGGCACAGCTACATAGGATGCTGAAGATTAAGGTGGGAGGACCGCTTAAGTTCAGGAGTTCATGAGTAGCCTGAGTGATATAACAAGACCTCATTTCTTTAAAAAAGGAGGAAGCAGGAAGAAAGGAAGGGACTGAGAAGGGAGGGAGAATAAAAGAAATGCAGAATCTCAAGCCCTACCCAAACTGCATTTTAGAATCATTTTAACAAGATCCCCAGGTAATTCATATGCACATTAATGGTTGAGGAATCCTGACTCCCACTATTGCTTCAACAACTTCCCTTGATGCTCAGACACTTCTATTTTCCCCTTTCATCACTCATCAAAAGCCAGACCTGCTGTAGTTCGGTGTTACACTGAAATTACTTGTTTGTATTTATCCTCACACCTATAGTGTTTTGTGCGCAGATATCATTTTAATTTTCTAATCTTAGCGAGGTGCCATAACTAGGATATTGTGGCAGCACAATTAATATTCTTTGAAGTTGAGTTAATTGCTACATAGTTGCTAATGACATAGTAGGACTTATGAACTACTTCTTCTAAAATATTTGCATCTTAGCAGAGGATTCCTGAAGGAAATGAATTTAACTTAAATTATTAATAGTGGTAATGCTGGGAGTTTAGGGCAAGTTCGTCAACTGAGTGGAAGTAATTTCAGGGGGCAAGTGATTTTTTTTCTCTTAAAATTTCCCTCCCATCCATTTGGACCACCTTGCCCCTCACTAGGGTGGTGGTAATGAGAGAACTTTGAGAGCTCTGGGCTGGCTGACTGGCTTTTAAATTGTGTTCTCCTGACAAGAGTATTAAACTACAATATCTCCAAATATAGACAGAAACTACAGGCCACATGAGAAGCCGAACATATATTTAATTTATGGAACAAGGGAAAGAGTAGTAGGAGGGGTAACAGAAATATTAGAATATATTTCCTTGTAATTGATTGCCTTGTCACCTGTCTTCACCAGAATGACAGTTGTCAGACCACAATGTCTATCTTATGTACACTGAACGCCCAGCCAAGTGCTTTGCACACAGACATAACAGGTTAAATAAATTTGGGGCATAAGTGGTTTTAAAGCATTGATCATGGCATTATCAATGAAACAGCATATCTACAGCACGTAAGCTCACACTGCCTACAGTTCAGATTGCATCAGCAAGAGGGTGTGCATTTCTGAATGCTGAAAAAAATCAATATTAACCCTCAGCTTTCACAGTGAGCCATGTATTTTCTGAGTGAGAAATGCCTTTCTTAATATCCCAGCTCCATCAAAGAAGATAAATTAGGCAACAGTGACACTGCTTTATAAACCGATTTTTAAGAGTCTTGTCTTTCCCTACATAATGACTATGTGCCTCACACATGCTCTCTCTATATATTTGTAGAGTAGTGAAACATTAGCTGCATATTTAATTTCATGATGGTGGTAATTTGCATGTGGATGAAATGTGAAATTGAACTGGTTGGCTATGAGCAGTGAACCTGCTAAGATTCATTGCTTAATCCTCATTATTTCATCTCTTGGCTTATTGTGTTTGCTGTTTTCTCTTATTACTCCCGAAATTGTTGAATAAGTCCCCAAGGATCCACTAGCACAAGGTTTCTGGAAAATAGTGCTTGGACAGTTCACATAATGGGACCAACAAAGCCAACATGTTTGCCATTATAAAAAAGCCAGTGTTGTCTTGCTTTGTTAATTGACTAGCTTTAGAAAGAAGGGGTGAGCTTGGATGGGAAACTCTGAGAAAGCAAATTTTCAGGGGACTTGTAGGTTGTGCTCAGTTGAAGTGATGCTTGTAAGAATAGAGAATACATGAGGGTTTTAATGACATCAAATCCACAGTGGCAACTATTTTGGACATCAAATTACTATTCTCTTCTATTTGAAGAGTATGAAGGAGTGAGGCAAAGGTCTTTTCTAATGCAGTTAGGAGAAAGCAAATCAAACTACCACAGGTAAGTCACAGGAGACAAATAACTTTTTTTTGTTCATGAGATTACAACTGCGGTGCAATTGAACGTGTTTGTCATTCTTCTCCTAGTAGGCAGATAAGCCAGGAAGTGGTAAACTAGAGAATAGTGTTAGCTGGCCTTATCAACTGAAATTTATCTTGTGGAGAGTTAGTAAGACCTCCCCAAGCTTCATTTTGGAGTCTCTGTGACCTCTGCAAGACACTGTCCTCTCCATGCCTCATTGCCTGCATCTAAAGATTCGCTATAACCATGCACACCTTTACGTATTCAAATGAGAGAAATAAAAATAACTCTGCATTTATCCTTGGTGTTATGAGTCATTCAATCAACAGACTAGGGGTATGAAGGGCATTTTAATCATATGTACCGGAGGACAAAATGTAATTTAGAGATGAAAACAAGTATTTTATAATTTGGCAAATCTTTATTGTGCTAAGTGACACTAACTAGCTGTGTCATGAAGAGTAGTAGTACAAAGTCATCTCAAGTGATTCAGTAGAACTCCTTTTTGACCTCTTAATATATATTTTATAATTATGCCTCATTTAATCCCCTTTTCAAAGTTCCTTTCAGAATTGGTCACCAGGGAAATCAGTTTCTCAAATTAGGGCTTTAGTTATTAACCACAGGGCAGATGTCATGTATGAGATGGTTAATATACTGCTGTGCTTGAAGCCTACTAGATTCCTCCTATTTCTACGTGTATAACAATCATATTTAAAGGTATTTTTCTCTTATAAATCTCTATTTTCAGACAGTAGCACAAATCTTGTTTGACTCAACAATGAAGAAAAAGGAATAAGCTCTCGGGAATCAGTATATAGAGAAAAAGTGATTTGCAATTGAAGGAAAATATTTCTCCAGTTTAAAATTAAGCAAACAAAAACCATGTGACAATATAGAATAGACAATATAGAATAAAATTAATAAAATTTTATTGAGAACCAGCAAGTCAAATCCTTTACAGAACACAGAAATACATATGATCTCATTCCTTCCAGAAAAAGACAATCTATAATAGTAGAGTCAGTTCTCTGAATATCCCATACACTTTGTCTTGTATCTATTAGAGAGAACTTAGCAGTACAGAAAATACAGCATGGGGGTGCTCTGACTTATTTAAGAGAAGCAGAAATAAAGTAAGAATTCAGTATGAATGATAAAGCATTACATGAGTTCTAGTAACCAAGGGAATGTAGGAGTAAATATTCAAGAGTATTTTGAAATATTCTTTATATTACAAAATCTGCTAGTCAAAAGCAGGGTATCATTATACAAATAATCAAATAACCTGAGGGAAGTGTGAAGGAGACAAAGTGGCTTTAGATCCACTTTTATCAAAATTCTATCTACCATGGAGGCATTTGATGCCAATGACTTGGAATTGACATCAATGATGAAAAAGGAGCCAATGACTCTGAGGATTAAAGACTAAACTCAGATGAGATCAACATCCAGTGGGATCAGTGGAAATGGTCATGATGTTAACACTTTTCACATGTTGATAAATTAACCACTTGCACTTTCTCAGAGCCAACAGAAATATGTAAAAGGATAAATAAATAGTGCCTGACAACCTTTGAAGATAACAGATCCTACTGAGTTTTCCAGTGAGCAACTTTTGGGAATGAAGAAAAATCTCCCAGGGAAAAATGTAACAGAAACAGAACTGATTCTGGAGTTAAAGAAAGAGTTGACTCTTGAGACTGTGAGCACTTAATGAATACCCAGTAAGACTAATAAGAGGAAACTCACTCCTAGACACAACTTGGTAAAATTTTGCAATTCTAGTGATAAAGAGACAATCTTAAGGACTTTCCAGAAAGAGAAAAGAGACAACCTACCATGGAACAAGACTCAGACTGACAGCAGATTTATCACTGGACATTCTGGATGCCAGAAGTAAATGGAGTGCTGTCATATAAGTCCTTCAGAATGAAATCTTTAAACCTAGAATTCTACATCCAGCCAAACTGGCATTTGATTTTCACGGTAAGTTGAAGACATTTCTTGATATCGAAGAACTTAGGAAGTCTATTTCTTGTATACCCTCTCTGAAATAATTATTGGAGAATATATTTTAGCAATATAGGGTGACAACAAACACATGTACATGTAATATGCTTTCCTCCCACCAACGTACACATCCAAAAATCATATAAAAGCAGAAAATAAAATAGCTCTAACTAGAAGGATGGACAGCTAACCAATATATTTTAGGATACAGGGAAAGAAGGTTCAGATACTACCTAGATGTTGGTGAAATTTTTAAAAAATAGACTGCTTTGAAGGTAGTGAGTTATTTCAATTATTGTTCAGTTAGAATGCCTTGTTACTACTCTTTCCTTCCTTCTCACAACTGCACCTGACTAGTCTTAAAAAATGACAATAGTAACCATTCTAGCTCATACAGGAGTCAACTTTCTACATCACCTGCAAGATGGGAATCTGTCAATGGAATTTGTGGACACAGTAGAAAAGGATGGGCTGAGGTGGTGGTCAAAACAGAAAAGACGGAAAGTGGAACTCAACAAACGGATATTTCATAAATGTTATCATTTATCATGATGTGAATCTTGAAGTTTTATATTAAATCTTTTTCCTTTGGGGGGAAAAAAAGAAACAGAACTGAAACAATGATGCCAATTACCTTCAAAACTAAGACAGCTAGTGCAAAAGGCGCTTTGGTCACCAGTTAGGTGACTGTTCTCAGCATTATAGCTTTGCCTGAGTTTAAAATCCCACCAAAACGTTTTTAGCTCTCAAGCATAAATAAAACAATGACACAGATATGAAATCTTTATAGTTTAATCCATCCTAAAAAGTTAAGAAAACCCTTTGAATCATATTTGTGTTGATGAATTTCTTAATGGATGACAGTAACTAAAAAGAAATTCAGATACTAACAAAAATCTTATTTGAACTGTTCTTCTCCTGCCTTTAAGTCTTCCTGGGGTTAAATTAATTAAAATGTGTGGAGGAGCATCATGATGAAGTGTCCTCTGGTTCAGAGAGATTGTGTCTTGTTCTTTCCCTCTGTTAGTAACTACAGTAGCTAAAAGGACAGGCATAGAATAATTCAGACATTTAACTAACCAAATGAGCTCCATTCTTTTAAGTTGGACACGCAAAGGTATGTTAGTTTTGCTTCTGACTGCAAATACTGACGTCATTGATTGGAGACTTTCACAAGAAAGGTGTAGCTTGCACACAGCTTACTAGCAGCACTGCAGGAATCTGAGAGCCACAACGTAATCACCAATGTACACAAGTCACAGAAAGAGCAAGCTAATCCTAGGAACTCAGCAGGGGGCTGCTTTTTAGAGCCCACTGTCAGTGGCCTTTCAAAGGTTAAATGATTTCCAATAATACTATTTTGGTGCTAAACGGAAAATAATAGAGGACTGCTACCCACAGGAAACAGCATAAGAGTCAGAGGGGAATTGGTTCAAAGTTCCATTAAAAAATAGCATGTTTTTATGACCAAGAGAGCCATGAAATAGGCACATTAAGAACTCTTAGACCCTGTTATTTTGAAGCTGCAAATTTTTCAAAATTAGTCAAAAAAGAGAAAACAGGACTGAGGAGTAGAAGTAGAAGCTGATGAGTCAAAACATTTGTACAGAATTTGAAGCCCCAGGAACTGAGTCTTCACCTACCAAGTAAAACCCAATTCTGTTGTCTCAGAACTGAGACACTGTTAAGCCTACGATATGCACAGATCCATTTGTTCTAAGCATGAACTCTGGATAATGCCTCTTAAAGAAATAGCATTTCTATCAAAAGCTTAGTATTCTTGTTCAAGTTACTGGCTACAAAGCATTCCCCTTCTTGTCCCTTTGTAAAAACAAAAGTAGAATGCTATACTATTTAGTGAAAAGATCAATGTTCAGAAAAATTGATAGGAAGGAAAATATAGTTGGAAAATGGCTTATACCAAGCAGTCAGCACTAAGGCATAGTCACCATAAAGTAAGTGAAACACAAGTTGAAGTTTAGAAGGTCAGTCAAACAGAGCGGGCTGCTCAGCGGATATCCGTACACAGAAAACTAGCTTCTGCATCTTTTATGACTACAGAAAAACAAATTCAAATAGTTTCAAAATATACTAGATTGTTTTAGAGAAAACAGTAACTCTTATTATTAGCTTATCTTGAACTAATCTTCAAATGAGAATTTTCACAACGACCACCATGTTTTTAGCAGTTTTTGTTCGTAATGTTGGCTGATGAAGCCTAGACGCCTCTGACAAAAGCAAATTTGAAAGCACAATCACCTCTAGTCCACACAGACGTCATGAATTTAAAAACTGGCATTTAGGTCCCCAGTCCAGTTTTCAACTCTTGGAATTTTTCCCATGGAAGCAACAAAGGTATATTTTTGTCCCTTTTCATAATCAACCACTGAAGAGAAAATTCATAAAACTACCTGCCCTCCTGGTTGGAGGAAAAATACTAAAAAGAAGAGGTAAAGGGCAATTTCTAACAACAGTCACATATTTATCTCTCTTTATAGTTAGTTTCTTTTAAGGATTTTTAGAATAGTAACAGTTACATTCATAAACTTAAATAAGATTTCTTCCAAGTTCTGAAATATACATCTATGACCTCAAAATGCTATATCTATCATCTACCATCCAGGAAGAAACTCAAGTATCCTTGGATACTTTAAAATAAAAGTAAATGATAAAAAAAGGAAATGAACTAAAGATAAATTTGGAAAAAACAATCTAAATCACGTATGCGTTTTGACTCTGTGTTTCCTTGAACAGCAACAAAAGCAGTCAGCCGGGTTTGCGTGTACAGAAAGGGTCATGCAGAGCTGTGGGGCATGCTTTCCTCTTAGAGTTCAAATGCAGGGAACTTGGCTTTTGTGGGGACTAGCAGGTCAGCCAGGAAATATATTGTGCCAGCCATTCCTGAAGAAAGAGAAAGAAGTAAAAGTTATTATACCAAAGACTTTATTTTATAGAATGAGTCCGTTTTTTTACTATATATGACAATATTAATGGTAATTTAAAATAAGGGGAATCTGTCTATATTTCTCCCTATGTATACTGCAGTTCACCAGTAGAAGAGATCACTCAATGTTTAGCCTTTATGTTTAGGTACAAGATGGGGGAGAGGATAGACCCAGACACGTTCAAGTGACAGCTCTGCCGCTGACTGTGTGTGAGCTCCTTCACCATGACCCTGTGGGCCACATAACTTGCCTAAGCCTCAGTTTCTTCATCTGTTACAAGGGGGTAGTAAAGCCTGAATGTTATTGCTGTAATGATTTATCTCATCTTCAAAATGCCTAGCCTCATAATTGGGATTCATGATTATGTCTACTAGTATTAGGTCTGTGGTGGTATGTGTGCTAAATGGTTGGTAATACTGACTTCTCATGTTAGGAAGTAAGTAGCTTAAAAAATAACTATAAAGTTATTGATGAAATGCAAATTCAAATATATTAATTACCAGGCAGAGAAGTAGATGCTGATATTAGAAGGCAAATATGTAAAATGTGAAAAATACCTTCGAAGAGGGAGAAGGGGGTGTCCGGTGTTCTGCACCCGTGCTCTCCATACTCTAAGCACCATTCAGCAAACTGGAAATGAGGTCAAGCTAAATTAGTATAGTGATTTCTTTCACAGACTCCTAAAAGTTAACAGAGGTTGTCTCTAGAAATTACTCTGAAAAGTCAAAAACTACTTTCAAGTCAGAAAAAAGGGATTGATGCAGAGAAATGGGTGGTCTAAAAGAGACTATCCATGTTACACAAGAGAAATTTAATGAGCTATCTGAGCCACCTATCTCCAAAATTATTAAAGAAGAAAGGGACAAAATTACCCTGTATCTCTCTTTTTTCTCCCACAAATGCTGTTAAGTAGAATTATGTCCTTTTAAAATAATGATAATTTAACTGAAAGGCTTTTGAAGATTTTTCTTAACAGTGTTTGTTATCTATAGACTCATGGATAGTTTTAGGAATAAGCTAATTAAACCAGACAAATTAGAGCCCTTTCTCCAACCTCCTGGAAGAGCTACCATCCACTGGGCAGTTCTGGCTCCTACCTTACAGGCCCTGTACAGGTACTTCACGTCCTGGGTGAGGTTGTAGAGGTTCAGGAAGGCGTAGGCATTCCCGGCGGCGCCATGGCACAGCCCGTATCCCTTCTTCAGCAGCCCATATTGCCAGATCACATCGGCACACTGATAGGCATCACAGAGATACTTTTCCTCTTTGAACGTCTAGAGTCAAAGGACATAAATTTTATTGCATGAGATATAAAAGTTCTAATGACATTCCTTCCTGATAGGTAAGTAGGATGGGTCAGGTAGAGAGGTGGCGTGACAAAAAAGGGTTAGGGAGTAGTGACAGAGAGATGTATTACATTAATGATGACAAATTACTAAAATTGACTAATTTTGCTTTTTTATTCATTATATTATTCTTATTTTTTTTTGAGATGGAGCCTCAAGCTGTTGCCCTGGGTAGAGTGCCGTGGTGTCATAGCTCACAGCAACCTCCAACTCCTGGGCTTAAGTGATTCTCCTGCCTCAGCCTTCCAAGTAGGCTGGGACTACAGGTGCCTGCCACAATGCCTGGCTACTTTTTGGTTGTAGTTGTCATTGACAGGCCCAGGCTGGATTCGAACCTGCCAGCTCTGGTGTATGTGGCTGGCGCCTTAGCCACTCAGCTGTAGCTGAGCCTATTCCTTATTGTTATTATTACCATCTTTTAGAGATGAGGCCAAGGTGGTCTCAAACTTCTGGGCTCTAGTGATCAGCCTTACTAGTGGCTGGGACTATAGGCACAAACCACTGTGCCTAGGTAGTTTTGGGTTGTTTTAAATAATTGGGTATAATCTTATATGTATAGTCTAAGTTTTATGAACATGTTTGGTTTGGGTGTGTAGGTGTTACTGATAAAGCAGCTTGCTGTTATCATTAGTAATTTTCCAAGGAATATATGCTACATTTTCTGGCAATTGTGATACCTTTGCTACTGGAAAGTTTCTTTACACACTGGGGAAAGATCTATTATTTATTAATAGGCAAATCAACTATATAGCACTAGAACTTCAGAAAAATAGAGATAGATCTTTACAATCTTTTGTTGCCTCCTGTATCTTGATCAAAGACTTGAGCAATAGACTAAGTATATTTAATATCTTACTGAAACCTAGGTGTCCAAAAGTATAGGATAAGGCAGTTTTAATAGTTTTTCTTTTAGATCTACTTTCTGAAATGTAGAATTTGTTATATCAAAAGCTTATTTAGTTATGAAATGCCAGTGCCTATTCAGTCTATAGATTTGTAATCTGTTGATCTGACACCAGATTTCTCTGTTTACTTCTTTTTTTTTTTTAAATTAAAAACCTTTTATCCCCTTGATTGTGGGAAAAAAATCTGCCACATCATGCTTCTTAAGAGTGATATTTATGTATTTTTTTATTGTAGTAAAACATACACAATGTATTTTGACCATTTTTATGCATACAATTCAGTAACACTAATTACATTCACAATGTTGTAAACCATCATCACTATTTGAAAGACTTTTTCATCATAGCAAAAGAAACTCTGTACCCACCAAACAATAAATATGAAAACAAACTGTGTACCCACTAAACAATAACTCTCCATTCCGGTTTCCCCCAAGACTCTGCTAACCTCTCTCCTACTTTCTATTTACCTATTCTAAACACCTCCTATTAACCATCACAGCATATAAGTGGACTCATACAGTACTAATCCTTCTGGGTCTGGCTTATTTCACTTAGCATACTGTTTTCAAGGTTGATCCACATTGATGTGTGTATTAGAATTTCATTTTGGGGGGAGGGGCAAGATGGCTGACAGGAGCCAGCCTCGGACAGAAGCTCCCATCCAGAGGGAAGGATAATGTCCAGGAAGTACCCAATTAAGCTGAAGACTGGGAGCCGAGCAGAGAGAGAAGAGTGATAAGTGCATGTCACCTCTGCTGAGGTAAGCTGTGACTCCAAGAAAGCAAACTTCAGGCACAAAATTCATCCCAAAGGAAAAGTATCCGTCCCCTCCTCCAAGAAAGTTGTGTGTTTTTTTTAATTTGTTTGCTCCTGTAGGTTTTCTATAGGTGCGTGGTGAACTGAGGACCTCTTGTCTCACTCCAGGGTGTGAGCTATAGGAAGTGGGGACTACTTCCCCAGAGGGACCGTGTTGTGACCTGAGCACTCTCCTGCCAGGCAGGAAAATTGAACTAACGTTTTCCCTGCCATTCTGAACTTCCAGTCCACCTTTCCCCCTTTGCCTGATGATACAGAAGCTTAACCCTTACAGAGACTGCAGGACGAGGCTCATGAGCAGCACAGCCCTCCCCCACCCTGCTAGAGCCCTGTGCCCCGCATTCAGCCCTGCTGGAGCCTTCACGCTGAGCCCCGCCCTGCCAGACTTGTGGGCTGAGAGCTCTCCTTGCCAAAGTCACCGGGCACCCTGCACTGCCAGAACCATGTGCAGCATCCCCCATCCTGCTGCTGGATCCCTGTGCCCCACACTCCCAGAGCTGATCCTACAGCCAACTCCCTGGCTGTGGCAGCCACCTGGGAGCTGCACAGTGTCACTTCCCACAAAGATTCAGCAACAGCAGAGCGATCCTGCTGCGGTCTAATCTTGGAGAGATACTCCCCAACTCTGAGGACTGCTAGGGGAAAGCAGACCTTGCTCTACAGGGATACTGGTGCTGCAGAGCAGCTGGGGCAGAGGAGTGGTGGCTGAGGGAGAAAAGCATTTGCTTTTGTTATCCTCAGGATTAGAAAAGCATTTGTTATCCTCAGGATTAGACTGAGTTCAGGTGGAATAATCCCCAGTAGCTATTGAATACCCAAGGCGGGCAGGCCTCAGCTCCTCCAGCTGGCCGGTGGCAGAGGGTAAAGGCTGGGCCGAGGGGGCACTGACCTTCCTTTGACTCTGACAGGCACAAAGCCCTGGCACATCTGTTTATTGATAGGAGCAGGACCTCAGTGTGGGGTCACCAGTGACTGGGTGTGAAAGAGGAGCAAAGTGGAGAAAAAGCACAGCCCCCTGGTCCAACTCTGCTACTGGATGGGCCTTTTTGACTCCACAGAGCACGGGAGTAAGACAAATTTGAGCAGCCAGTAGACCTCCACCATCTAGTTGCTGGAGACCTTTTGAACTCTCCCACTTGAGAGTTCGTACTGACTGGGTCAATTGGTTTGGAACTCCTAACCTGGGCCAATAACCCAAGGACCCTCTCGGGTGGTACCCTGGTTGTGTGGTAACAGGAAGGGTTGATTTTCCTCTTCCAGTTGTTGTCCATGTGGATGGGGTATCTTGAATTTCTCCACAGCAAAGACTTTAAACTGGAGTCACTGATCCATTAGGATCAGACAAGGACCAGCTGGATACAAGACAGAGCCACCTAATCCCACCACACCAAGCAGGTTTCCTCAGCCTCAGACTGTAATACTGTGCGGGTCCTGTGCAAAGCTGGAGGGGAAAAAGCTGCAGTCATGAGTCCCAGATCATAGACAAAGAGGTGAACCCAGACACTTATGATTTGATCTTTGATAAGCCTATTAAAAATATAAATTGAGGGAAAGATCCCCTATTTAACAAATGGTGCTGGGTGAATTGGTTGGTGACCAGAAGACTGAAACTGGACCCACGCCTTTCTCCTCTAACAAAAATTGACTTTTACTGGTTAAAGGACTTAAACTTAAGACATGAAAGTATAAAAAATTCTTGGAGAGAGTGCAGGGGAAACACTTGAAAAAATTGGCCTGGGAGAATGAGGTGGACCCCTCGGGCAACTGAAGCAACATCAAAAATACATTACTAGGATCCGATCAAATTAAAAATCTTCTGCACTGCCAAGAACACACTAAGTAAAGCAAATAGACAGCCCTCAGAATGGGAGAGGATTTTTGCAAGTTATATTTCTGACAAAGGTCTAATAACCATAATCCACAGAGAACTCAAACTTATTAGTAAGAAAAAAACAAGTGATCCCATTTCATTGTGGGCAAGCGACATGAACAGAAGCTTCTCTGAAGACAGGTGCATGGCCTACAGACCCATGAAAAATGCTCATCATCTTTAATCATCAGAGAAATGCAAACCAAAACTACTCTGAGAAATCATCTAACTCCAGTATGAGTAGTCCACATCACAAAATCCCAAAACTACACATGTTGACATGGATGTGGAGAAAAGGGAACACTTCTGCATTGCTGGTGGGAATGCAAGCTAGTACGTTCCTTTTGGAAAGAAGTTTGGAGAACACTCAGGGATCTAAATGTAGACCTGCCATTTGACCCTGCAATTCCTCTTCTAGGTGTACATCCAAAGGACCAAAAATCATTTGGCAATAAAGTTATTTGCACCAGATTGTTCACTGCAGCTCAATTCATAATTGCCAAGTCATGGAAGAAGCCCAAGTACTCATTGTTCCAGGAATGGATTAGCAAATTATGGTATATGTATACCGTGGAATACTACACAGCATTAAAAAAGTGGAGACTTTACGTCTTTTATGTTTACATGGATGGAGCTGGAAAATATTCTTCTTAGTAAAGTATCTCAGTAATGGAAAAAAAAAATCCAATGTACTCAGTACTACTATAAAACCAATTTATAATCACTCACACTTTCATATGAAAGATGAATCACAACTATAGCCTAGGATGAATGAGGGAAGGGGAGCAGGAGGGGAAAGTAGGGGGGTATGTCAATAGAGGGAAGGTCAATAGGGGGAACCACACCTCTGAGGCATATTGTAAGTACAAGTTGGATCTATGAGGTGTAGAACACAAATGTCATAAGACTGTAATTGGGTAAATGAGGTGACGCCTATGTTAATTAGTAGGATGTAACCACTCCAATTGGTACAAATAATCAACACACTGAATCCCATAATGGCATAAATGTATTCATGATCTATGTACAATGATCTATGACTTAAAAAATAAATAAAGAATTTCATTTTTTTGATGATGGAATAATATTCCATTGCATGTATACAGAGACCACATTTTATTTATCAGTTCATTTGTTGATGGACACTTAGATTACTTTTACATTTTGGCTACTGAGAATATGCTGCTGTGAACACTGGTGTACTATATGTTTGACCCTTGTTTCAGTTCTTTTGGGTATATACCTAGGAGTGGAATTGGTGGATCATATACTGGATCCTAAGTGAACATAATTATATGTTTAATTTTTTTTGAGGAACTACCAAACTATTTTCCATAGGAGTTGTACCATTTTACATTCTAAGGAGTTGTACCATTTTACATTACAACCAACAATGCATGAGAGTTCTTCCTAGTTTTAATTGAGCTTCTAGGATACTTACCTCATCTCTGCAACTGATACTATAATCTTTCCTAGCCTGTCAGTGAAGTAGTCTCTCGTTCTGTGAAATAATGTCTACACAAAGACTGTCAGAATGAAGTATAATCCATTTAGCAAAGTGTTCTTAGGTCTAATAAAGAAATTTATTTATTGCTCTTTTAAAGATTACAATAAGACTAAATATAATTATAAATTTTTTATGTTTTTTAATTAATTTAAAATTGAAAATGTACGCAGTACCTTATAGGCCTGGGTAAGCATGTAGATCACCCCAGGGGCACCATGACACCAGTGGACAAGCAGATCTCGGGTATCGTCCACACATGGAGGATAATTGCCAGAAGGGAATTTCAGCTGGCAGATATAGTCTACACTGGGCTTGACCAAAGTATGTAACTTCCCTTGGCTCACTCGAAGGCTGGGCTAAAAAATGAGAAAAGGAATTATTAAGTTTTGCTGAAGCAAACAGACTTTCCTGAGCTTCAGAATGACTTTTATACCTGAAAAAAAGCATGATCAAAAGGAACTGAAAGGTCATTAAAAGGTTTGTATTTTACCCAATTTTCTCACCTATTGGATCCTTTTATTTAAAATGTTTACCTTTAATCTCATGGCAGATTACGGATGCTTTTATTATAACACTTTGTGGTTTCATTTTAGATTTTAAATAATGGCACAAAGTAAAACAGGGCTATCAGTTAACTCTTATACAGAAGGCCCTATTTTTTAATATTTATTATCTATATAAGTAATTTGCCCAAATCAATGCTTGAGAATGTGAGTGTAAGAGGTTTCCTAAGGTTTCCATACATAAAGCATCTTTTAAAAGGCACAAGATACATAAGACAAAGTGAGCATGACTTTTGTTACTACATGTAGAGAAGTGGCAGGTGTTAGGAGACACAGTTCTAGATCAAGCTTTTCTGTATAAGATTTGCAACTGATCTAAATGGAAGATTATTTTGCCGTAACAATGTACACATCTGTAAGACACACTGACATACAGCTTATGAACTGTACAGTTTTTTAAGTTTCTCCTTTTAGCCCTGTTCTATATCCAATGACTGTTCACATCTTTAAACAAATTCAAAGTTGTTGTTTTTCCAGGCAGGGGAGTCAGGCATGTGGAGGGGAGGGATGGACAGGGGTGTGAAGCAGAGGTAATTTGTGGTGGGGGGATTTAAGTGAAGTTGATGATGTAGTTCTCCTAAGATTGTGAAAGTACACTAGTACTTTCAGAAAACAGTACAGAATAATAATTTCAGAGAATAGTACAGAATAGTGTTCAAGTTCAGTTTGAAGTGTTATAGTAGAATGAATGTGTTCTCAAATTTTCAAGAATTTTCCAACATGGCCCCAAACATAGAATCCAACTAGAACGAACGTTCAGCGTTAAAAATTAAATCATTTCAAATGGATAATACATACAAACGGAAAAATTAATACTTGGGTTTTCATTTCGCGGTATAACTAACAAAAGGAGAGAGTATGTCTCCTGATTATTTGTTTCAATGAAAGGTCAATGAGGCTGTCCGTCACTGACATGTAAGATTCTAACTCACTACGAAACTTCAAGAGACTCTCCTTCCCTGAAAATTTCTAAGAATCTATATTTACCTCTGGAAATAGCCATTGGAGGAATGTACTAGAAAAATAAATAAATTTAAGTCCAAATTGTTAAAAACCTTAATTATAAAAGTTCTAATTGAGAAGTGCAGAATAAATACAACAGTTGGTCTCTGAGTGCTACTAACACTCAAAAGTGTGACTTGTATTCCAAACTAATAACAACCCTGAGTTTTTCAGCTTTGTTGTCCTTGTTCAGCTCTAAGTAGAGGGCAAGTGTAACATTCATTTTATATTATTAGAGCCAGCTACTCAACCAGCTGGTGGGGTGTATATCCAAGCACTCATGTTGAACACATTAATAAAACACTTTTCTTTATGCTACACTGTGCTTTGGGAAGTTGGAGGGATACCTCTGCTGCCATTAAAAATTAATTTTCTTTTTCAGGAATTCTTATTCACAAGTGCCAATTTTTCTTTCAGGAGTAAGTCCTCTAAAATGAAAAGGATTTCATTAGAAGTCCTCGTCTTGTTTGCCGCAGTAAATTTTGTTTGCCTTTAGTCTATTTGACTTTGGTAGATGTGCCCCAATAGTATTAGATCCTAAGACTTGTTGAATATTCAGCTATTTCTCAGATAAGTTACACATGCAATCCACTGAACACTGTCCTCAGATTTCCTCTCCTAAGTAAGCCTTAAGTAATGTGTGTTCATTTGTTTTTTATGGATTTTGCTCTTATTCCTAGAATTGCTTTCAATAGGTTATGACTTCTAATGTGGAAAAATATTAATTCAAGGAATTTTCTTGAAGAAAAGCAGAAGATACTTCACACAGAATTATAGGTCAAAACAGTCTGCATAGGTGGTACTAGGTAGGTAAGTATGGTTACTTACAAAACAAACGTCATCTCAAAACACAAGGCTTTTTATGTTGATATTTTAAAAATGCATCCTGGCGACACTTCTTTGTCTAGCTTGAGCATTTACAAAGAGAGTGATAGACCCCTGACAGAATGATAAAATAAAACTAGAACATTTGCCCTTTCACCCAACAGTACTTGGGTCACAAAGCACATTATGAAGTCTCACTGTTAACACCCCTTACCTGCATCAGGTAGTAATAAATTCCTGCCAGGCCATGAGCAGCCCCCACATAATATTCCTGGTACCATTCATATATCAGTGGAGTCTTTGCTGTGAAGTTTCTCTTTCCAGCTAGGTTTTCTCCAGAGGTTAAAACTGTTTCACAAATCTGTAAGGAGAAAGCCAACCAAAATAACAAGATAAGTACAAGAAAAACCTTACTAAAGGAGGTAGAGAACTTTGTGTTAAGAGATACTGGGAAACATGGCTAGTTAGACACCATCTTTTGGCCAGGGCAGGTCACGGTTTAAGTCTGCATCAGGTAAGTGGATGCAACTATACTCTGCGTAAGGGGGGGAGGAAGAGGATGCTGAACTCTTTGCACTACAGCTTATAAGAATTCATCAAAGGAAAGCATAAACTCTTCTAGGCACAAAGAAAGATACCTTATCTGGGGAGGAGGGTAAAATATGGCCCTAATCTTATCCTGAAAAGAGATTCTTCTACTCCACTTTCAAAGAGAGCAGGGTGGGCTTCTGACTGTGAGTCAGAAGTGTTTCCAGGAGTGTTCAGTGTGAAGCTGTTGCTTCTCTGGCTGTGCCTGACCTTTAGAGGTCAGGACACCTTCCTTCTATGTCAACTTAAGAGACAAAAACAATAGTTTAGGGAAAGAGTAAGTGGGACCCTAAAAAGCATATAAATGTGGTACCTGCTGGATGTGGCTTTGAGGAATCTTTTCCACTCCAAAGTTCTTATTGATAAAAAGAAGAGCGTTGATGTAGCCCATTCGTCCATAGAGCATTTCATTTGGAGCATGGGGATCTACCTTATTTAGGTGAATTAGCCTAGGAATAAACATACATGCCCAAAATAATTTGTAAGGGAATCAGGTACTTTTATATACTTAAAAATGGTGCATTTTAAAAGTGTACAACACACACAATTTAATTGATATAAAAATGTATATGGGACAAAGTTCAAAGACCAGCTTTCAACTTAAACTTTTTTCTTTAGTTCACAATGAAATTGTGCACAAAAAATTCATAGAATGAAAGAATAAAAATATGTGGCTGAAGGTCTCTGAAACTTCTCCCTTGTTCCTCACAGAGACATGTCCTACAATTAGGACTTTGGCATTTGGGATGAGAGAAGCCAAGAACTGCTAGCTGTTACAAGCATTTAGCCTGGAACAGGGACTAAAGCAACACTTGAATGGCCCTCTCTTTTCATACAGTGAAAAGCTTACTGCACTTATCTCTTTCCTTAGTTTCTTTCTTAATGTGTTACCAGGCCTACTTGAAGAGTATACAGCAGCCTCATCGCCCACTTCTGATAATACATGCAGGTGGTCCCCGTCTCCCCGGTCTCTCAGCCTTCAGGTTCTTCAAAATAACCATTGTTACCAATTTTTGTATATTTCTAGAATTATTTCAAGTACCCATAACCATAAATATATATATTTATAAATACAAATACATAATTCCACAGCTGTCTATTTAACAATACACCTGACAACTATTCCATACCAGCACAGAGTAATTTCATTCTTTATAATAGTTGCATAGTATCCCTATTAAATGGGTATCTTATAATTTATTAGATCCCCATTGATAGGCTCAGTTTAACTTCTGAGGAAAAGTTATTTTTGGTTCTGGGTCAGGTGCACTCTACTCTCCCATGAAATGTAGCTCCAAAATATGGACAGATTATGTGAAGCGGGTATTTAAGGACTCTGAAAAGTAAATAATAACAAAGGAAGACGCGCAGAAGCTGAAATACCTCTGAACCAAGGATGAGTTTACTACTTTTTTTCTCTCTGGTACTCCCCTAGCCTCAACTTAGTACAGCCCAACCCTAAAAGTGGGCAGCTGGGGGCTGACAGAGCCTCAGAAGCAGCGTATTAGCACTATCTCAAGGAAGAATAGGAAAGAGAACTCCTCATATAAGAGACAGTGAGTTAAACCCCAGTGTTTCTTTATTTCCCCTTTTCTTTTCTCTGTTCCCTTGTTCACCAGGCCACAAGCAATCTCACTGGCTTGGAAGCAGAGGCTAAGGCAGGGGAGTCCCCAGGAGCCGAAACTCACGGATTAGAGGAACTGTTAATCTCATACCTTCCACATCACCTGGCCCTAAGGCAGGCGCAGCAACAGGAAGATTGTGGCAGAGCAGGTAACCAGGGCCCCAGATTCCTTGACAGACAACCAAAAAGGGAAGTCCCAGGAAACCAGAGTATGGGGGAGACCACCAAGGACAAGCCTAGGGAGTGACCATGTTTGATGGTTTGAATGCTTGAGAATGAGCTTCTTTTTCCTTTTTGAGTAAGGGAGCAGAAAATAAGATAGATAGGAAAAATATCCTTGTTATTTTAGATTTGTTTATCAAATAAAATTTTGAAAGTGTATCTCAATTGTCCCTAGATTAATCTATAAATTTAATATAACTTAAATATTGTAATTTGGGGGTGAAACTTGACAAAATGTTAATAGTATAAAAAGCCTGGAAACTTCTGGGAAAGAGTAGTATTAAGAGGACATTAGTTCTAGCAAATGTCATCAGGTAGCTTCTGATACTAAAGACACTATCAAATCCATTCTTAAAATTTTTCATCTACGAAATGAATAGGCCCTTACAATTTAAAAATTCTGTTATTTATGCCTGTATGGAAAGTTACTACTTAAAGTAGTTAAGTATACACAGTGTGCAGTGCCTGTGTATCCTCTAAATTTGGTCTATACACTAGGGACAAAGTACCAAAAATCAACTCCGGTCTCCCAGGGTGATAGATTTGAAGTACTCTAATCAGGAATCAATATTTAGAGGTATTCAGCACTTCAAATCCACTAACTATCAAAATCTACCCCAGAGAATTTGTTATTATTAAGGAATGATAGAAACTGGCTTTTCACTGGTGGAGCGAGAGGTAAAGCTGGATCAGAGGTGCCAAGGGTGGGGAACTTGCACCCCTGGGGACACGTGTGGCCTTCCGGACCTTTGACCTTTTAGTCTTTTGACTAAATTCAGTTTTCTGTGAAGTTTGGATTGAGTTGAAGGCTATACTGGGGATGTAGGGGGCCACACAGGGCCTTGAGGCATAGGCTCCAAGCATGGCTTGAGGATAATGTAGCTTTCTCTGAGCTCTAAGAAAAAGGCAGAAGACTGTTCGTTTATATGGATGTGTCTCTTCTTCCTAATAAATGTTTGCACATTAGGCAGAATTGGGCAACCACACGTGCTTTCATTTTAACATACTCAGTGGTAAAGGTACAGCAGAGGGGTATACAGCCCCTACTGCTAATCTCTGGAGGCAAATGATGTTTACAAAAACTAAACCAAACCAACTAACCCCCCAGCCAACCAACCAACCAAATAAAATCCAAGGAAACAAAAATCTGACAATTGTTACCACCAGGCTGTATACCAAAAGATTCAGTGATTAAAAAAAGTCCTAGCTCTGTAGAAAGGCTACATATGAAAGAGAAAATAATCCTCTTCTCTCATTCCCTTCACCACTGCTTCCATAGGCTTGTGGTAAGGGGAAGAGAATACGGTGTTTCCCTGAAAATAAGACCTACCCAAAAAATTAGCCCTAGCAGGATTTCTATGCATTTGTTAAATATAAGCCCTAGCCTATAATAAGACCTAGTGATGGGTGTGACTATGCAGTGTATGTGCATGCCATGCCATGCATTTTGGCGTAGAGAGGAAGACATCTGAAAATAAGTCCTAGTGTGTGTCTTCTTGAGAAAAAATAAATATGAGACAGTGTCTGATTTGGGGGGAAACATGGTACTTAACATTTAAAAGGAAGATGGCAGGATGAAATGATTTTAGTGATTGAAAGTGGTTGATAGTTATGAAAGAAAGACTGAGAAAAAGTAAGAAAGAAGGGTTTGAAAAAGATGGCTAGCTGCAGTTCCAGGAGAAGTTAAAACTTTTTCATATTATGAAAATTTTTCATTAAATTGAGGCATCTCAAATTAGTTAAATAAGCAAATGCTGGCTCAATATAGGCCATAAACTCACAGTGGAACAGTGGTTATCTCAGGATTAGGGTCACTGTGGGCAGAGGTTTCTTTTCATTTGCTAATAATAACTTACTTTACCTATTCAAAACATCAACAGGGCTATTCGGGTGGCAGACCTATGGGCTACTGTGCTTTCTATTCAATACCATATATATGTTTGTATGCACATACACACCCTTAATTTTTAAAAGAACTGAAGAATATTTATTAAGAAAAATTCTATTTTTTTTTTCTCATGCCAGAACTAGAAGCTCAGTTCTGTTCCTTAGATACAACCTAATCAGTCCATTAGATACAAACTCAAGTATTATTATAAATTGAATGTCTTAGAGATCTGGTAAGTACTGATTATCAAGTTTTAATAAAAATATGTCAAACTGTATAAAATTTAGATTAAAAAAGCACTTTTGATTTACTTTTACAAATGAAATTGAAAAAACTATTCAAATGGGGAAAGTACTATGAACTTTTTTAAACAAACACCGCTCTATGAAAGTATTGCTAAGAACAATTATTGTATTTACTGCAATGAGGCTCTTATGGAAATAAATGTTTGAACTAACTGCATCAGAAAACATCATTTCTTTATTTGCCAGTGTTATAATTTATACTATCTGAAGATAATTTTGTAGCTGAACTCATTTGCATTTGGGACATTCCAAGTAGGTAGCAAATAAATTTCAAATACTTGAAAATAAAGTATTGCTCAGAGTATCTAGTTAAAACAACACAGTTTAGAATAATAAACTAAATATTCCATTTTTTTGGATTTCAATTCAAATCACTAAAATTTGTTAGCTGCATCTGATGATCACTGAAGATAGGACTTTGAATTGCATGTTTTACATGCTATGTTCTCAAGATAAAGAATATAGTCATAATGGTTATTATGATTTTTTTTTTTTTGAGACGGTCCTCGAGCTATCCCCCTGGTTTGAGTGCCATGGCATCACAGCTCACAGCAACCTCCAACTCCTGGGCTTCAGCGAGTCTCCTGCCTCAGCCTCCCAAGTAGCTGGGA